TGTTTTGCCAAAAAAATCAACCATAAAAAAATGGGGATAAACTTGAAAAACCTTTAAAAATTATAGTGGCAGACAAATCTATCCATGAAATTTGGTATGTAAAACAATATGTACCAATAATCATTGAAAAACATATCTTCACAGCTAAAACAATCTATCAACATGACTCAGGACTAGATATAATAATAGGAAATAACTTTCTAAAATTATATCAACCATTTATCCAAAGGATTAGAACAATCAGCCTTAGATGTCCTAAAACAATAGACCAGGAATCTAAGATAATCACAACAAGAATAATCACAAAAAATGAAGTGCTAAAAATTGTACTTCAAAACCTCAAAAATAGACTAGAATATATACAGATTACCTATAGCATTCTAGAGGATACTTTAGACCAGGTGTGTAGTGAACATCCTTTAGATAAAGATAAAAATACCAATCAAGAACTTATCAAAATTAAACTAAAAGATCCTAAAATGGAAGTTAATGTCCCTAAAAAAATTCAATATACTCAACGAGATGTAGAAGAATTCCAAAAGGAATGTTCAGAGTTAGCTGAAAAAGGTATAATACGAGAAAGTAAAAGTCCTCACAGTGCACCAGCCTTTTATGTAGAAAATAATAATGAAATCAAAAGAGGAAAAAGAAGAATGGTAATAAACTATAAAAAACTAAACGAACAAACAATAGGAGATAGCTATAAACTACCTAGGAAAGACTATATATTAGAAAGATTAAAAGGTCAAACATGGTTTAGTAGTTTAGATGCTAAATCTGGATATTGGCAACTTCGTCTACATGAGAATACCAAACCTTTAACAGCCTTTTCATGTCCACCACAAAAACATTACGAATGGAATGTTCTCCCATTTGGAATGAAACAAGCACCAGCTATTTACCAACGGTTTATGGATCATGTATTAGAAGGTTTTCAATCGTTCTGTTTAGCATACATTGATGATATTATTATTTTGACAAATCAATCAGAAGAAGACCATCGTGAAAAAATCTTTATAGTTTTACAGAGAATAAAAGAAAAAGGTCTAATTATCTCTAAGAAGAAATCGAAACTTCTTCAAAGAGAAATTGAATATCTTGGTATGAAGATTAATAATTTGGGTGAAATTGAGTTGTCACCAAACACTAAAGAAAAAATCGATAAATTCCCAAACCAACTTGAAAATAGAAAACAAATTCAACGTTTTCTTGGATGCTTAAATTATATAAGCGAACAAGGATTTTTAAAAGATTTAGCAAAAGAGTGAAAACATTTACAGAAAAAGATTTCTGACAAAATCCCTTGGTCATGGAATGATCAAGATACAAAAATAGTTTTATTAATGAAGGAAAAATGTCAGCATTTACCAAAATTATATAACCCTTGTGAAAACGATTTTCTAATAATTCAAACGGATGCCTCTAAGGACACTTGGGCAGGGTGTATGTTAGCAATACAAAATGGTAAGGGATTATTACAAATGGACAATTTTGGTAATGTCAAAATAGACAATAACGAGGCTACTGTCTCTGGCCAAGAGCCTAAAGATTATCAGTCTTCGGACAATATTATTGAACTTTCAAGTTCTCAATCATCAGTTCCTTTCAACAGTGATAAATATTCTAAGAAATTATGTAAATATATTTCTGGAACGTTTACCGCCACTGAACAGAACTATCCGATCCACGAATTAGAGACACTAGCCTGTCTCAGAACATTGAAAAAATGGAAGCTTGAATTATTATCTACAAGGTTTGAACTTCAAACCGACTCTAAATATGTAACAGGTTTTTGGAGGTACAAGCTTCAGGCAGATTTCAACAAAGGGAGATTAATCAGGTGGCAGCAACAACTCCATTATTACAATCCTTATCTGAAGTATATCAAGTCCAGCAACAATCCATTCACATACACACTGACTCGAGAATGGAAGAATTCATAAAAACCCTCATCAATCAACTAAGGCAGAAGCAGGAAAAGAGTGCAGCACTGGAACAACAACTTCTCCTTTGCAGGGGGGAGGAAGAAGCAATAATTCAATCAATCGACGTCATTCAGCAACAGTTAAAAATCAACTACATCAACGTCAGTACATTAACAACTAGCTCCACTAGTGGAAAGCCATCAACACTCACCACAGAACCTGCTGAAAAAGAAAAGTCGACTGCAACACAATCATCCACCACTACCAACAATAATATACAAAAGACGACACGATGGGCAGACATCGTTGAACAAGAAGAAAAAGAAACAAAAGATTCCCACTATGAAGAAGATGACAGAAAAGGCAGCAAATGGTATGTCATATTTAATGGACCATACCGAGGAGTATATCATAACTGGGCCATTGCTAGCCAGCACATCAACGGCAAACCAGTCCAACATCAATCGTTTAAAACAAAAGAAACAGCCGACGAAGCATATAGACAATCATACAAGGTGATGGCAATGAAAGAACCAGCCAAGAATCAAGAGCAACAATCGCAGAAACTCGTCATGAAGATTCCCAGTATCAAGAGCATCCTAACCACCAAGGAAAAAGAAGAGCAATTAAAACCAATCTTTCAGAAGTTCATATCCAACTGGGATATGATAATCAACTATGAAGAAAAACACACGACCATGGGTTTCTACCCCGTCAATCGAGGAGGACCCAAAGCAGTAATCACAGAAGAAGCATCACCAGAACTCTCTTTTGAGTTTCATCAATATGGATTAATCGACACTATCTACACTACAACCATGAAGGTATTTGAATACTTCCCACAAAGAATGAGGAACGTAATCAGAAGATATCCCGAGCTATTTGCCAAGGAACGAGAAATATTTCTCAAGTATACAAGCAGCTACCCCGTATTCGATCAAGACAAACTATTGATCGGATCAAAGGCAGTTATCCTCATGGGAGTATCAAACCATGATTACCCTACCAGAGATGACCTACGAGACTATGAGAAGAACCCAGACTACCAAGTAAAGGGTCTTCTTGCAGTATGCAGAGCATTAACCAAAATTGAACCGGAAAGCCAGATTAAAGTCAATTACAGCAGCCCCGATGCCATCATCACAAGCAAAACAAGAGGAAACATGACCAAAGAAGAATGGGCAATCATTACAGATAAAATTAAGGAATTCACGGAAATTAATGGGAATCTGTCAGCCCTCCCCATTCAAATCAAGAAACAGTTATGCAATGAGCTTACTATCTATGAAGACCATCTCTGTGAGTGGTGTGCATCAACTGACGAAGACATCAGTGGACCAGCAGACCAAGACTGACAGAAGCATGTGAAGAAAAAGGAATCAAACAAATATGGAATAAAGCGACAAAAGAAGGTTGGCCGACTCCTTTAAAAAAGTCGTGCATTATTGTATTTTATCAGCTTTTCTTATCGTTTCGCGCACTTTTGACGTGTTAGCTTTACGTCCCTGTCTAACAGACGTAAGCAAAGACGTCTTTGTATTTCCTCTCAGCTCTATATAAGAGCAAGAGTTTTCAATGAAATAAGGCAGAACGAGTTTGGCCATAAAATTGCCTGTTTACTCTCTCCCTCTAGCTAGCTAGTTGTAAGGCTTGGATCCACTGATCCTGGAGGCCACAATCATCTTCAATATAATCAAACGCACGGAAAGAAGCTACAATCATCAAGCGATCATCAAAAGGCTCAGAATTTCATCAGAAAAGCAAGTCAGGTATGTCTGATAATCCTACCTCAAGTTATTTTGACTATTTAAACAAAAATGATAATGAAAACTACTTCTTAGATGGTGTTATAGACATTAAGAAAATTAGAGAAAAAACTAATTTTACTATTTCAGAAACTCAGAACTTTATCACTAAGTCTTTTTTATCAAAACTTTTCGATAGAGAAAACATTATTAAATATGGTAAAATGATAGGTGAAGTAGCAGTCCCTATTGATCAAACTAAGGGTGATTTCCTAATCCAAGTAATAAACAAAGAACAAATCAGAAAAAGATTAGCTAAACTAAGATCAGAAGAACGAAATAAAATAGCTTATATTCATATTAGTACAATTCAAATTATATTAAATTCAACCATGAAAATAGGAATTGACGCACCTATGGAATTAGAAATTCGTGATGATAGGCTCCTAAACGAAGAAGAAAGTATTATTGCTAAAGGAACGGGAAATTTAGGAGTAGGAATAATTAAATTTGATATTAACCTGCAACAAGGATTAAGCCTTGCAGATGGTAATCTTGACTCTTCTATCATTATAAAGTACGAATTAAAACGAGAAAATTTTATGAAAGAAAATAGCAAACCATTTTCAGTAACTTATCAAATAAACTATGCATTAACAAATAGTCACCACAGCTTAACCTTCAAAAATAAGGAAGTAATTACTATAGAAGATTTATATAAACCTTTAATTCAACTAGAAGCACCATTAAATAAAGACTGTTATGATAGAACCTAGTCGACCATCAATAACCCAAGATCAAAGACGATTAATTAAAACACAATCAGAGAGAATTAGGCATATCCCAGTAATATAACAAAATTTAGAACAAGAAGAGATAACCAATAATCAAGTGAATAAATTAATTGAAGAAATAACCAATAATCAAGTAATAAACAAGCTAGAAAAATTGCAACATTCAATAGCAAATTTAGAGAATAAAATCTAAATATGCCTACTAACTATCATATAAATAAATTAATTGAAGGATTAGATGCTATAGATCTCACCTCAATAAATTATATCAGTACAGTCACACAAGAATTGACTTACTTTGCCTCAGAAATTGTAGAAGAACAAATAAGTATTGGAACCACAGAAACATTAGAAGAAACTATCTCTAAAACCGAATTAATTACTGATATAATAACCAGCTTAAACAAAATTAAACAAAGATTATTAAATCAGTAAGTCTAGTAATAAAACAATTATTAAATCAGTAAGTCTAGTGCTAAAACATGGTATCAGAGCCCAAACCGATCAACTACCCGAATTATTTAGTTCACAAAGACTTAGATATTAGTTCATACACTATTGGATATCAGTTAGTATATACTAACAAAAAGACCAGTTAGCAGATTAACCAGGTTGGAGCTCATCAGTTCCGCGATGGAATGGAACAATTTCCTTTCTCCGAATCCTAAGATCGTAATAGGCGAGACCCCCAATCACCGAGAAAAATCATGGTCTTTGCCTCTCTTTCTTTGATCTCTACCGTTTGAAACTTAGATCTATGTTAGATCTACTCAGATGAACCATCGTGTTCGGCCATATCTCCTTCTCCGACGGGAGTTTGAGCTTCAAGAAATCCAGTTCCGAACGCCATTGCCCGTCCCTCTGGTTCCCCATCTTTTCATTCTCGTACGCTGGTTAGAACTCCTGTATTTGATTTTCGCTTTCTCTCTGTTTTTGTTTAGGTTTTCGGCGAAGTCTCTCTCGGTTGCGCTGTCGGCCTCTAGCACGGAGGCGAAGTCTACAAGCTTTGAAACTTCAGTTTTGATAACGGAGATGAATTTCGTGCTTGTTGTGTGCGCTGAGGAGAAGCGGGAGGTGAAGCACTTGATCAATGTCGATGATTGTAAGAGGTATATAGGGTTTGGTATTTTCTTGTTTCAATTATTGATTTGCATCAATTATGACTAAATAGGTAATGATTAAAATTGCGCATAAACCTCTTGGTCTTGTGATGAGGATAATATTCCCGTAGAGCCAAGAGAAAGCTTCAATCCAATTTTTCTTATATTGACTGCAATCGAAATATTTCGTGTTGTACCTTTTTGCATTTTAAGTCTTAGTGTAGCATGAAAGCACGAAAGTGAAGTTGAGCTGAGTTCCATGTTGGCAATTTGGGTCCTCTGTTTTCTTGTTGTTGTTGTTGTTGTTTTTTGATGGTGTTGATATTTTTTTCAAAACTGCTATTTACTTGGGCCTGGTTCATTTATTATTGTTTGATGTAGATACATGCTTGAGAATCCTTGACTGAAGCCTATTCTCAAGACTCAATGAGTGATAATAACTATACTGATTCTATACTTTTTAATTTTTGGCTTCCTCTCATGATTCACCCTTTTTCTGTGGTCTTAGAACTTATGCAGGTGTGAACTATAGAAAGTCGAAGCATTATTGAATTGCATTGAGGTCAAGGTAACATTTTGACTCTATTACTTTATCTCGGTTATGCTTGATTTGTTTAAGTTTCTAAAGAGAAATGAATACTAGAGAATATATGTGAATCCCCCTTTTTATGATTCTGCAGCAGAGCTGAGGTTCCTCAAGGTATATTTTCTTTATAACTTCAAGTTTTTCTTTCATTTACATGAGTGTTGATGTGCATCATTCTTAGTGTTGCTGTTGTTGTAATTTGCTGCAAAGCCAAAGTGTTGCACAGGGCTGAACAAAGGGTAACTCAAAACATTACACAAATACCTTCTTTCGTGCAGTACATGTTGTGTCGTATGTCATCCGTTCTTTCTGGAATTCCAGGTCATCAAATAATTTATGCTCTTTGAGTTGAGCTTTCTTCCCTCATTATTCTAGGTCAAAATCTAATCTTTGTGTAATCTCTTTTTCTAGTTCAGGTTAGCTTTAACCAATCAGAGTCAAAGGTTAGGATCATATTGTTGCAGTGTTAGGTGTTTCTTTGATACTTAACTAAAGTTTTCTTCTGTGAGTTTTTCTCCACTTAGTTTCTTGTTCTATGTTTATGTTTCTTTACCATGCTATTTAGTGAGAACTTTTATTTGTTTTATGCCTTTGTAACAGGTGAATATGGTTTCAAAAGAAAGCAATGAATGATGTGGCTGATGTAGAAGACAACAATGTTTGATATTGTGGATCTTGCTAGAACTTGTCTTTGTTCAAGTTTAACATTATACCTTTCATTGTGAATCGTTAGTTGTTGAGTTTTTATTGATTTGATTTCTTTTTGATAATTAATGCAGTGAGTAATTTGTATTGTGAGTGAACTTAGCAATTTATGAGAAATTTGAAATGCAGAAGCAGGTAATAGGGGTTCTTGAAATTTATAAGAAAATTGAATGCAAATCCACTTGCTAAATTCGTCATTAAATATTAATTTCCAGGGGTTTGGATTGTTGCTAAACTGGATGGCTAAACGTCGTCCTAGTTTTATTATTATCGCCCTAACTTAAAATATAATATTACGTAATTGTCCTTTATTAATCCATAAAAATTCAGTAGAAGAAACAGATCCCTAGAATTTCTAATCCTCTACCAACATCGCTTAACAACTCCCCTGCTAAATGCCGGATAAAAATTTCCAACAGCAGGGGATCTAAATCGTCTTATCTAACACCTATAATCGCTGCTAAGTATTCTATTTGACGGAATCAAAAAAACAATCGGCGGCCGTTTTGACCGCTTTAGAACCGTCGCAAGGACTTCCACTAGCGGTTGAGGTGACCGCTGGGTACCTGTTTCCTCGGGAAAACCAAATGCCACCGCCGGTGCCGAATTCGTTTCCGGCGATGTTGATTTGATGTTTCACGATGGAAACTCTTGCGGTGCCGATTGAACGGATGCACCGCCGATTGCTGAAATCGAGACGATCGTCAAATATCCGCCGCCGAATGTCGGCGCCGTTGATTTGATCGATGCACCTCTAAATGGTGAAATCGACGTGATCGTCAAATATCCGCCACCGAATGTCGGCGTCGTTGATTTAATCGATTCACCTCTGACTTCTAACCAACGCGACCGTTACTACGGTCCGCACCTCTCCAAACTACGTTCGAACGAGGGTGTTTGAGTTTTTGAGGAATCTACGCTACCGCTACTCCTATGGAGATTCCTGTGGAGAGCTCCGCGACTACGACTAAGACTACAACTATGGAGATCCTTCCTGGAAGGAGAGCTCCGCGAAGGAGTTACAGAGAAAAGGTAAAGTTTGACAGATGTGTTTCTGTGTTGATTTGGTTGTCCTTTCTCTCTCCTTGCTCCACTGCTTTTATTCGAAAAACTGCTTCGTAGCCTTCACGCTCGGTGGAACCGCTTCCTCAACTGCTCCGTTGTGAAATCCCACGTGTCTCAACTGCCTTGATCTCCTCTTTCTGCTTTGCATAAAAATCACGTGCCATCGAAACCGCTCCTGTTTGCAGAAACTTGGCGAAAAGCCAAATCCTACAACCTTGTCCATGCAACGATGTCGTTTCACCAATACCGCGGCATCACCTTTCACTAATCGATGCTGACAAACAATGTCGTTTTCCATTCCGCGACATTGTTTCTTTTGCAACCAAACGGCACCGTTGTGCTTGCCAGGCCTCGCCAAAATCCAAACCATTGTGGTATGGTTTTTAACTAAACGACACCGCTTAGTGATACTGCGGCGTTGTTGATGCCTTAAACGGTGTCGTTTTTAACTGAGCAGCACCGCTTGATTCTACCCGCGACATCGTTTTAACATTAAACGACTCCGCGACACTGTTTATTATTAAACACTGTCGTTTGCTAATCCGCGGTACCGTTGGGCTTACTCGCGGTACCGTTTTGAATTAAACGACACCGCCGATATAGCCAAAAAATATTAATCCATGGAACGAGTCGCAGTCGGTGCTCGCATTGGGTCGGGTGAATTTTGGTCACTTGCCCGATATGATTTTTAATTAATCGGTACCGCTTACCAGGCTCTCGCGGCACCGTTTTTAAATCCGCGGTACCGTTTTAACTCTCCGCGATACCGCTTGTCTCCATGCGGTACCGATTTTCCCTTTCCAACCAGTAATAAAAATATTAATTAATTATAAACAAAACTCCTTCCCCAACACCTACACTAGAACGCGCGGCCCCTCTCCAGTTCCGCGGTACCGCTGAGCTTCCTCGCGGCACCGGTTTTCTGTTTCGCGGTACCGGTTTTCTGTTTCGCGGTACCGTTTTAACTCTCCGCGGTGGCGCTTCTCCCCTTCCCACAAGGAATAACAATAATAATAATAATAAACTCCCTTTCCAACACCAATACCAAAACGCGCGTTCTTATTTTCCGGCGGTGTCGTTTTCTGTGTCACGGTACCGCTGAGCTTCCTTGCGGTACCGCTTTTCTGTTTCGCGGTATCGTTTTAACTCTCCGCGACACCGCTCGACTCCAAACGACACCGTTTTTTATCCGCGGTATCGAATTAAATGCCGAGACTAATTAATGCGGCATTTAATTCAGGACAAATTAATTTTAGGTGTCAACAGTACCTTTGCAGCCATGTTTTGCTTTAGCACCCAACTACCTGGAACTCAATCTGTGTGTGCAACTCCATAGTTGAAATGTGGTTGGTGGGTCAATGCGTTGAGAAAATTAGCATTTTTAACCTTAAAAAAAAATACATCTTGGGTTTCAAATCACCGGATCAACACAAAAATGCATATAAGCTTTTTCGAGCTCACCGTGAATTAGTATTGTTTACGTCAAACAAGGATACCACGTAAAACTCTCTTGTTTTGTGTTCGTTTTAATTCCGCATTATCAAATTCTACATGGTATCATAGCGAAACTCGATCCGTATTAGGGCTTGATTCGTTTCTTGTCTACGTCTCCGCTGCTGGTTTCTCTGTCTTGCGGATCGTCACCAGGTCAGAAGCAAAGGAGTTCCCGCCGTTGTCGAGGTCATCAGTCCGACCTCTCCGTTGTTCCTCCATTCGTCGTATTCTCCAAGTCAGGGATCATCGTACAACAGCTGTCTGTGTTCGTTCCGAACGAAGCCACTGAGCTTTCTCCTCTCCTAGGCGTTGCCAGCCACCAAATCTTGTTCGCTGTTGGTTACAAAGAGGCCACCGTCATCAGGCCTCAAATCCGACCCCGAGCGCGTCTCAGTCTCCATCACGATCGACAGTCAAGGTCCCAGAAGTCGAGGTGTGTTGAGGATATTAATTACTTAGTCAAAAAGTAATTAATTTCTTGTCCTCCAAGTCCCTTGTTTCCTTGTCCCGGTAAAAGAAGGAACTTGGTTGTCATTAGGGTTTTAACCCTAAGTCTATCTCTATATAAGGTTAGCTACGAGATTGTCGTAAGCAAGCCGTCACAATGTAGTCCCTAATAAAATATCAGTCGTGAGCTCGTTCCGAGCTCACCGTGGATTAGTCTAGATCAATCCAATCGATCGAGGATACCACGTAAAACTCTTGTGTTCGTGTGTTCGTTTCATCTTCCGCGTCATCAAATTCTACATGGTATCAGAGCTGAACTCGATCCTTCGTTAGGGTTTCGAGCTTCCGCGGTCTATATCGGTTTGTCTGGTCGTCTTCACCAATCAGTCTGTGCGAAGACAGACCTAGCGACAAAATTAAAGACGTTGTTGAGAGAGTCGACATCACCTGTCCGACGTCTCCTCCGTCTCTTCAATCGCTCGGCAGCAAGCAAGAATGAGAAGCGGCAGATGTCAGTTGCTTCTGACATCATTGCATCGCCGCCGTCCGAGGTCTCCGAAGTCCTCTTCATCTTGGCAACACGAAGCCAAGCCCAGTCATTGTCACATGATGCTCGCCGCTCGTTCACCATCGTCGTCCGCGCCAATATCGTCTCCATCAGCCTCCGCGTCCCATCATCAGTTGCAGTCAAGAAGCAGGAGAAGGCGGCAGTGGCGGATTCTGTGCCCAGAGTTTTGTCTGCGTCATCTTGTCAACGTTGGCAGCTATAGCTTGCAGTGCAGGTCACCAAGTCTCCTACCGATTTCAGTCATCAATGGTCACCGAAGGTCAGGTTGCCATGTCTCCGTCACCGTCGAGTATGTTCATCACCGCCAAGAACTTCCCCTCGAGGTCGCCTCGCATCAGCGCGCAGCTCTCGATCTGTTTCGGCGCTCCGTCCGGTCCGCGATCTCTCCTCGCAGCCATCATCATCATCGTTGCCAACAACAGCCCCGAGGACATCGACGTCCCTATCCTTCCTCTGCTCTCGCCATCGCCTGCAGCTCCAGGCCTCCGAGAAGTCTATTCGGCATTGCTCTCGCCATCGCGAGCAGCTCCAGGCCTTCTGTCCTCGTCAGAATCAAGTCCACTTCGAGCAGTCGGTTCATCAGTTCAGTTTGGACATCATCATCATCATCTCATTCCGTCAAGGGGCTTCCTACAGCATAGCCGATCGGTGGCGTGGTATTCATCTTCTCAACGTCATCGTGTCTCATCTGAAGCCGATGTTAGTCATCAGTCGCCAAAGGTTATGCTGTTGTTAAGTGGGCCACGTTGCAAGGAAGGATAAGGTTTTCCTCCGTTGCTTTGTTTCGTGGTTTGGTTAATTATCTTTGACTACCGATTGAATGGAAGTAAACTTTTGGTGGGACACTTGTCTAGCATTAGGGAAGAAGAAATTAAAGAAAATAGCATCGTGGTTCAGCAAAGTTTGTCTTCAGAAGCATGTACAAGAGCTAGAACAAGTCACCCGAAGTCCCTCTCCATTTTAGCGACTGTATGGTTTTGTGAAGCCGTTGACATTGTGTTTTGTCAAAAGGTTGGGTCATCTTCATCAAGTTCATGTAGACAACAAATCTTCACCAATACCATGGCGTTGAAGAAAATCGGTGGTCGTAGCTAGTGTTGGGGAGACACGACAAATTTTGTCAAACAAAGAAATTCAAGTCATCAAGCGAGGCAGTCACGATCAAAGAAGCGATCGTCCCCTCCGCGTTCAGCATCAGTCAATCTTGATTCATCATTATTCTAACTTTCAAGCTGGGCATTCACGTCGTTCATGCTCCAGTTTGAGGGGGAGAATAGGGAATCATCACACGTAGGTCGACTAGTTCAGTCATCAAGTCGACCACGTCTATCGATCAGTCAGGTTGCTCGGAGAAGCACAATCAGCAGTGCAGTTAGAAGTCTCCAAAGTCAGCAACCCGGTCATCAGTCTCCGGTCTCATCCAAGACGTCAAGGTAATTCCGCCATGTGGAGTTCACTATTGTTGAACTAGGTCAAGCATGAAGTCGGATCAGTCTCATCCAAGACGTCAAGGAATTTCACCATGCTGAGTTCACTGTCAAAAGAACTGGGTCAAGCATGGAGTAGTTTCATCATTTGTCTTCATCTCCCGCAAGCGAACTAAGTCACAGCCTGTTGTCAGCAAGAGG